ATCCTAACTCTGTTCAGCTTGGTCACGTGACCTGGGAACCTGGCAGAATTTAAACCAGCAAAAAGGGTGGTGTAAATTAAACTCTGTTTCCTCAGAGTTCCTGCAGTGTTGCTGCAGCCCCTTGATTTTGTTTGCACTTTTCTTTGCTATCATTTTTGTTGTGTGGTGACCAGAAGTTTACAAAGGATTCCAAGAACAATATACTGTAGTAAGGCGCAATCCTAACTATGGGAAGCCAGTGTAATGTACACCAGCTTCATTTAAGACTGCTTGAAATTACACCTGTTCCAAACCCCATTCAGGAGCAAGGCTACAGTTCAAGTATCTGCAACATAAAGACTCCACCTTGGTCCATCTGCTAGCTCATCTAAGTCCCCAAGGGGTGAAGCTTACCTTGGAGTAAACCAAAGATGAGTAACCCTGCTTGACTTCTGCACTCCAAATCAGGTGCAGAAGAGAGTCCCCAAATCTGCCCTCACTCACTCACTCACACCCCACCTGCTAACACATCCTAGTCTCCAAAAACTTACCACAAAGTAAGACAAGGGGGGGCAGATGGAAACAGGTCATCCAGTGGTTGAAAACAGTACTCAGTGACTATCACAATCGGGAAGATCAGCAGGATAAGCCAAAAAAGTGCTGAATCCATATTTAGGCCCAAACACCAAGCCTAAATCAGAGCCTATTCACTCAGATACTTTTAAGCTGGAGATACCTGAACTGGAACCCTCAGAAACGGCACTTCCTGAGCCAGAAATCTCAATACAATTGTGCATGACGTGGAGAAAGTAGGCAATAATTTCCCCCTCTTTCATAATACTAGAAATGAAGTTCATAGTTAAACTCTGGAATTAGCCATGGACTCGCTTCCTATCCTCTCCAGGGTTTGTTTGCCAGCACAGGCAATGCACAAGGTAGGAGATGACTGAGGCAACAGAATGCTAGGCCAAGAAACTACTCTGTTAAGACATTCCCTTCTTCAGGAATGGGGTGGGGCTATGAAGGGATAATCTGGCAAAAGTGGGCTAAAAAGCCTCATACCTTGCCAAACCAACTTGGAGCTATCCATGGTCCTGCATCTCCAGCCTGACATTGACTAAGCCACCCTCAAGAATCCACCTTACCTCCAGGCTCTCGCTCTCAGTTAGGACAGGGCTTCTTGTAGAGTCGCAACAAGATAGTGCTTTGAAAATGATTTGAGAGTGCAAATACGAATGCTAAGTACATGACTCTATATGACTCTGCTTCATGACCTGTCTCAATGTCAAGAGGAATTGCATGCGACAAACTTTCATAGCACTGTAAAGTTTCACATTTCAACGCTAGAAAGACGATTTCCCCCAGCAATTAATCAATGGCTGGAAGACATCAGTGCTATCTCTGTATTTCAGCAGTCAGGGTACACCAACAGCGATTAAATGCCACTTAGACTGTAATTCTATGCCCACATTCCTGGGAATGAGTGGGGTTTGCCAGGGCTGCTGAGGAGAATAGGGCGTGTGGTTGAGGAGTGTTGGGAGTGGGTGGTCCTTACGAGTATGGAGGCTGCAGTGTAGAGATAGCAGTGACACCTACAGGCTGGGAGTGTCACTCCAGACTCCTTGAACCATACAGCAGGTATTTTAAAAAGTAGAGTAGAATAAAACTTAAAAGATGAGAGTAGACATTGTCCTCATTCCCAGGTTTCATACTTCTAGCCCAAGGTGCATTATCTCAGACTTAGCTGTACAAGGCAGAAGTACATACCGGTATTTGCCACTGTCCCAGCCACCCAAAGGACAGTGCCTACTGAGATCAATTTATTTCAAAAAGTTTAATATGGATCCATGTATAAGTATGCCAAGTTTCATACTTTTAACCCAAAGTATGCCATTTTTTGCTTAACTGCTCCACCCCTCCCTGATGTTCCAAAAGCACATAAAAGAAAAGCTTTAACCATTATTACATTTGAAAATGGGTATAACTAACCGGCATTGTGACAGGAATATAGGGAAACCGAAATAGGAGGGAGAAATGGCAATCTTATTCAAAACGGATGAGAGAAAGCTTTGTTAGAAAAGAAAGGCAATTTGAAGAGTAAGACCCCGTTAGCTTCCTGTCTCTAGCCTACAGATTGTTATCCTTGGCAGTGAGCAAGTGACTTAGCGCAAATTGGATTTCAACCAAGGAAAAGAACAAGGAGCCTTTCAGTAGAGCCAATGCATATTATTAATGTACAACAAAATACTGAAAAGATGTATAAATATAATTATTAAGATGAAGGTCGCTCTTAAATATCTCCCTCATTATAGGGAAAGTAATTGTTTTGAGTGGTACAAATTTCTGACAACAAAAAAGATGATTTATTTTAAAAATGACTTTTAATAAAATGAATTGTAGGTTCTCGACCCTGTGGGAAGCCACGGTACACCTGCAGAAGAGTCAGAGATGGGACTCTGGAGGTGATCCAGCACTGCAGAAGGACACTCAACAGATGAAGGTCATCTCCACTTCCCACAAACATGCACATATAAATGAGACCTTGAGCGGGACTCTGTAATCAGCAGCTGGAAGGAGGATCTGCTCAGTTCCTGTCAGCCAGACAAGAGTGGGAGCGTCCTGCTGCCAGGCGAGATAGTAGAGGAAGAAGGGTTGAAGGGAAGGGGACAGTTGCATTCATGCTAAAATCTTTGGGTGATAGCCAGGGTTAGTTGTACTCAGAGCAGAGCTATGGGAAGCCATGGACTAAACTCCATTGATTTCAATGGGTCTACTCAGAGTATGACTAATGCTGCATAATATCACCCTTTCTTATCTATTTGCCCAGCTGTACAAATTACAGAGTGCAGGAAATGGATGCATGCAGCTGCACAAGTGAATCTCCACCCATTGATGCAACAAACAAGCAGTTGGTTCAGTGCAGGGCTGGGTAAATTTAGAACAGGAGCTGAGTTCAAAGAGTTCACTGGATTAGACAAAATCAAAGCTTCTAAATAAAGCTACCCTGCACCAGAAAGGGAATTTGTGTACTGAAGTATCCTGATTACTGCACCCAACACCAACACCACTGAACTCACTCAATTAAACTTTTAACATGAGTGGCATTGTGCAGTTCCATCTGGAGCAACCGGCTGCATGAAGTTAGAGTGAACTAGGGCCAGTGTCCTTTAGGACAATATTCAGTGCAAGGGTTGTAGTCTTATTGGTCAACCAGGATCTTACAAAAACTTAAATAAGAAGGCAAAATCTGTCATGCTCTCTCTGGGGAGCACCAGTGATTGAAGTGAATAGGCTTAGGGGAGTAGGGCGTGGAAAACTAAATAGCCCCAGTTCTGAAATCCCACACAAAACTATCTCTGAAGTTCAGGCCAGAACGTATTATGTTTGCCACTAGCCAAGCCATGTGAGGCTGAGGGGACTAACAATTGGATGGCTTGCTGATGGCAGTAGAGATCTAAGCCCCATCCCTATGGCCTGGATGCTTCCAAGCATCATTTCCTTCTTGGGTACCAGGGTAGTTCCCCACATCTCTCAGTCCAATGCATTGAATCTAGAGGCATCTCCTGTCACCAACAAGTCTTATCCACTACTACTACTACTGTGCCCTTTTTTAACCATCACCTTGTAAAGGTTACTTGGATTGAGAAGGGGGGCCATGATGAAGAATGCTAGAGGGGGCAGGATTTGGGTCTTTTAATATCTCTCAGGAATAGCTCTAAGTAACTGATTCTCCCCCCAAGAATTCTCAGGGAAAATTTGGGGGAAGAATTACAAGGAAAGCTAACCCATCACAAAATTATTCTGAAGTTAGTCACTGTAAACACAGAGAAGAAGTTATAGAGCAGGGATAGAAAACTCTTTGGCCCTTCAGTTGTTGCTGAACTTCAACTCCCACCAGCCCAGCCAGCATAGCCAATAATCAGAGGAGATGGGAGATGGATTGTAGCAACATCTGGTGAGCCACAGGTTCCTCATCCCTGTTCCAGAAGATGAACTGGATGGCCTCATGTTTAATCAAAGTAACAGGATTTTATAGGTACTTTTAAAATGAGGCTGAATTTAAATTGCATTTTAACCTGTATTTTAAATTGCTTTTTTCTTTTTCTATTATGTTTTTACTGTAATTTTACTGGTGTTAGCCACCCTGAGCCCGGCTTTGGCCGGGGAGGGTGGGGTATAAATAAATTATTATTATTATTATTATTATTATTATTAGATGGGGAAAGTGTAAGCTCTTGAGTTTGTGGATAACCAATACACATTTTTATCAGCTGAATACTCATCCAGCAGGAACTGCATAGCAGAGAAGATGTCACAATCCTGTTTGATTTCAGCATCACAGTCTGAATTCCTGTAACTCACACCATGATATTTTAAAGTTAAGCAAGAAAACAGGGAAAGATTGTGGTAGATATAATAACGTAATTTACCTGGGAAATTATGTAGCAGACAAGTGTTTAAAGCAGAGAAAAACCAGATGGAAAGAAAGAATGGTAAACCTAGAACTATACAAGATGAGAGATTCATGGGAATAAAAAACATGGCGAACAACGTTCCATTCTGGTAAAAGAAAGAGGCTTAATCAGCCATCGTTTTGACAATGGAATGTGGATCAGAGGAACGGCTCCTTACCAAATCAGATAGCACTGGGGGAGCTGCCATTACAAACTCCAGATAAAAGAAAGCTATGATAAATGTTATTGTCTGTTGAGGAAATGAATTGGTGCATACAATAACAAGCATAATTAATTTTCACTACTGAAAATTCAGCAACACAAAATAGGCTTTGAAGTGAGAAAGGAGAAATCTGTACTGCTTTCCTTTTTAAATGAAGAATTTTTACTTAGGTTTTCTCTAAAGTAGGAGTGGGGAAACTCAGGTCTGTGCAATTCAGCATTGGAATTTCAGGCCAGGGCTTTTGAGAGCCCTATCTGGAACTTACAGTAGGATGTTGAATCAGACCACTGAGCCATCTAGCTCAGTACTACACTAATTGGCAGCAGCTCTCTCCCAGCCCTACCTGAAGATGCCAAGGATTGAACCTCAGACCTGAGACCTTCTTCATGCAAGGCAGATGCTCTACCACTCAGCTATGGCTCTTGGACCTTCTGCAAGCAACATCTGTGCTCCATTGTAGAACTGCTGCCTTTCCTCTCTCTTTCTTCTCCAAGATTCTTCCTTCCTCTCCTGTTCAGACCTGCTTCCCAATGCTCCCTCTGCTTCTTTTACCTGCGGTTCCCACCATCATTCACCGCCATGACTTTCCTCTATTCCCATTGCCCTCCTCCATTTCTGTCTCTGACTTGTTAAGCTTTTTGAGCAGGGACTGCACAAATTCTATGTTCTCTCCAAAGCCTGGGTTGTTGCTGCTAGTATCTAAACTTCCTTCCAAAGCAGTAGCAGCAGTTGAAGTGGTACTTAAGGTTATCACTTGATAGACCTGCCTCCAGTGACAGGCCTCACAATTACTTGATAAGAAGGCAGTATCTGCGCAAGCCACTTCACACAGGCATGGTCTCACATTGCAATGGTTGCTATCCCATAATAGGCATGGTTTGTGATTCTTTGATCCCTTAGCAGCCCAAATAAAAAGCTACCCCAAAGACAGGCATCTCGACTCCAGTCTAGTCACACTTTTTGGAAATGTTCTTAGTAGTAGTGCCAAAATGTGGATGAGCATGTGTTAAGTATTCCATTAAAAGCAATGTAGCACTACTAGACAACATCCCCACACAGGAGCAAGCTGGATTTACCAGATGTGTGTCTGCTGTTCCTGATCCAGTGCTTGATTGTGCATGGAAACATAGGTTTATTCAGCAGGATCATGGTGAATGGAGATTTTTATACTAGCGCACTTTGGTGATTTAACAGAGTTCTACCAGCCCTACAAACAAATAACCCCTGCAGAAATGAAAAGCAAATGCATATATTCAGGGCTGCTAGCTTTTTCCTTTCTTGACCAACATGCAATCTCATACATCTACTCATCTCACAGCTTGAAGATTAACAAATAAAATTAGTTTAATTTCAACATTCTGCCACAAAAGAAATTTGGGGGATTTCATTTACAGTAGCTAAAGTTTTTTTTGTTTTGCTAAAAAGTAAGTCCTTCTTCAGTATTACTTTTGGACCTTTATATGTTGCATGGATCTGTTTTCCGGGGGGGGGGAGAGAAAAAACAAGACCCTGGCATGAGATCTTGGGATGCCAGGCTCTATTTTGAACTTCTTTCATGGTTTTCAACCTTTTACCCATCTTTTTTCATCAACACACTATTGTTGTTAAGCATTATTTTTTATATGCACTTAACATTTTTTCTCTTCTGTTCAACGATTTTTTCCTTCCTTTTCAACTTTCATTGCTATTTATTTTCAACCCCATCTTATTTCCTTTGTCTCTTTCATCAGATTATTTCATGAGTCTTTTTTTAAAATAACAATTCATTCACTTTCTCTCACTTTTTAATCGTCTAGATGCTCTTCCAGTCTAGCAGTCTAACTCCACCAGTCTCACCTACTGGGTTTAATTTTTCTTGAATGACAGTGGTAAAGGCAGGAAGATCAACAGATTAGATTAGGCAAAGGTTAGAGCCAATGAGCCTTTTAAAATACCTCCTCCTGACATCCCAGTGAACCTGTTACTCAACTTCCCTTGCAATAAAGAGCTGGACGTTTTATCTTACTTGAGCCACAGAAAGAGCATGGGGAGGACAGTGCTTAATTATGGAGGAAGAATCTTTCATGAGGTGGACGGCAGCCTTGATGCTGTGATTCTTATTTTAGATATATAGACTGAACAACTGCTGATCCGGGAGCAAAGAACATAATTCATGTCAATAAGTAACATATGACGTTTTGCTTTGGTTTGAAATGATTACTAAGAACAATAAAATCAATAGAAATTATCAGAGAATTTGCAATGCGTAATTCATGGGTTATAATCATAGAATTGTAGAGTTGGAAGGGACCTTGAGGATCATCTAGTCTAACCCTTGCAATGCAGGAATATGCAGCTGTCACATACAAGGATCAAACCTTCAACCTTGGCATTATCAGCACAATGCTCTAACCAACTGAGCTATCCATGCACCAATTATGAATGTTGTTGGACTACAACTCTCATCAATGTAGACAATGGACGTTGTTGGCTGGACAACATCTGGAAGGCCACAGGTTTCCCATCTCTGATTAAACTGCTACAGTTGAAACTGCATGTGCACTCTTTGAAACTGATGTAAGAACAACCCAGTTCCATTCCCACTCATTTCATCTTCTCTGGGTGCTGCTGTTGTCCAAGGCAAGGCCGATGGAGACAAGGAACAGCAGTGTCCTCCCTGTGGAACTCCCTATCAAGAGAGATCTATTTGCCGTCCCAATATAATTTGCTGCCTGAGGCGAAGGACCAGATGATGATGCCCCTTCTCTGTGTCACATACAATCAGCAACCGGACAGACAGGCAATTTAATTTTACTTCAATGCTGGTGTTGAAACAGTGTCCTCTACCACACCCAAGGGCACCAGGCATCCTTAGGCAGTGCAAGGCAGGGTAGGTGGGTCACAGAACTCTGTCCTCTAACACCTTGTTGATGCTCTCTGTCTCTCAGCACCTGCCGCCTAAGGTTCCCACCTCACTCTGCCTAATAGTAGGGCTACCACTGCTTAGGCAGTTCACTGGATACTTTTATGCAACAGGTAGAAATGTTTTGTATTAAGAAAAGCCTTTTTTCCATTTTCTAGTGATTTTTCTTTGTTGTTTTGCTTTAATGGGCTTTGTTAGGGTGGCAACGTGTTCAGAGTGTCAGACTAGAAGAGGGGACAGCCAGGTTCAGATCCCCAGTTAGTCATGGAGCCCACTGGGTGACCTTGAGTGTCACTATCTCTCAGTCTAGCCTAGCTGAAAGGATATCATGGACTGGTTGGATGCCGAAGAGTGATGGGAGACACGTGCTGGGGAACCCCCAAGGGAAGAAGGCTCAGAGCCCAGGGATTAGTGGTGGGATGACAATGAGCCATCAAAGGGAGAAGAGGGAGAAGACTGGGAAGAGGAGGTGTCAGAAGCTGAAGGGGTAACAGGGTTTAGTGCAGAAAGAGAACAATCCAGAATCAGAGGCAGAAGTAAAGGCTGGACAGGAGGGGGACCAAGAGGCAGAGATGAGTCAGGCTGGTGAAGAAGCCTGACTGCATCCAGTTCCCCCTGGTCTACCCAAACCAGAAGAGGTATAAAGAGGGAGGAGCAGAGATAGATATGGTAACACAGTCTCATACTGCTTGGGAAGGACCAAGAGGATGAAGAGACTTAAGGCAACGGCGGGAAGGACCTTCAGTCCCCACAACTGCTTCATAAGGGCAAGATCTACTGGGATGAGCTGCTGTGCTCAGTAGGCCCGGTCTTCTGAGTTGACTGTGTTTCCTTGAATAGAGAGTTAACTTCACTGACGCCGTGTGATTTATTGCCGACCTGCTCCTGTCTCCCACTTCTGACACAGGGTTGTTAAGAATATAAAATGGGAGGGGAGAAGTAAGTAGAGTCATTTTGTTGGAGGACCCAACAAAAATATATTGCAAACAAGATGTATGGTTTAGCATCTGCCAAAATGGGGCATTTCTATTTTTTTTAAACTGCATTTGCAGGGCACGTCAAATATTACCACATATACCCTTTCTATGCAAATAATTGGTTTCTATTAAGGAAATGATAATTGAGGAAATAGCCCTCACAGAAAAAGAGTACCTTTCCAAAATACTTAGGTATTTTTAACAAACAAGTAAAAATCCCTTAATATAACTAATTACATCATCCATTTCCAAGCTTCAGATTTCCCACTATACATTGTTATTTTAACTCTGACAATCCATGTCTGCTAGGAGCCATATCATACAATCAGCAAGCACTGTAATGTTATAAATAACTTCCTACATCAAAGACTAACAAATTACTTTGATGCCTTCCTAAAAGTCAGTGGTTTTCTGAACTCTAACATTTTTGCCTTGATCGTATGATAGGAAATCATTATACAGTAGAGAACACCTTGTTTCCATTCACAGTTGTTATTTTTGTGAAGAGGCATTAACCTCTGACCTTTGACATGTCTGTATCAGTAGCACTCAGATCCCAAAAGTTTCAGCCCAATAATCTGGGGTATTGCAAGAAAGAGTGCAGGATCAAGGTTCTTCTCTGTACTGTCTATTCAGTTGTATTTTACACAGAGACAAAATTATCAATGATTTCTGCGTTTCCTTGGCAATAAACAAAACATGAAGTGTCAAAAAGTAAAGCAATGGGCTATTAATCACACCCTCTTGATAACCCTGACCCTACTAAAGCATAACATCTGTCCTGTGTTTTAGATGGCTCAGAGCCAGAGTCGGGATAAGGGAAGCTGCAGTTTCACTGGTCAAATATTAACATTGCACAGCATGTTGATTTTGTGAGCACCCTGAAAACTCAAAGACTTTAATGGGACTGTCTTTGATTTGGCTCCTATCCCATCTATTAATATTCCTGGAGTGAGTCACCCATGTGAACAGACAAACGCTAACAAAGTCATGTCTAGGCAGCCCCAGAAACAGCCACTCCCTTCTCCAGGAGAGAAGAAATATCTGGGACTAGCAACTGGAATAGATACAATGGTTATGTAGTAAAACCAAGTCACTGGCTTCTTTCAAAATTGATCCAGAGCAATCCAAGTGTGAGGCAAACAAACTCAGGAGGGGGCAGGTTATTGCTAGAATAGTTATTCAAATTCAGGTTGCGCAATAAATATTGATTTGGCACTTTTGTGTAACAATCTCGCCTCCCTGCAAAATCTGACTTTTTCCAGAAAGGAAAGTGATGGAGACATACAGTGGAAATGTGGGGCAACACCTGTACAAACAAATCAGAATGGATGCCCAGGAAGTAGCCAATAACCTTCTAACTTCCCTGCAAGCTGTATTCAAACATATCAGGATGAATGCTCAATATGGGTTGTTAGGAAGCAACCCACATCTGACCTAAATCAGGAGGCAACACACTAATCTACTCACCATGGTATGCTTCTCCATCTGTCTTGGCTTTGTTCATTTCCACTAGTTGAGATGACTTGGTATACTTTCCTTG